GAAATTGAATAACATGCAAACTATTTGTCAGACCTGGAAGCCTTTTTTTTTTTTTTTTGATTTCAGGCTTGCCAACCTTTCTCCTGTGGGAAAACAGGAGGGGGGATTATACACAGTCTGTGTGATGTGTAGCCATAACAACATTCTTTCTCAGAAAGTCAAGGTTGCTTTGTCTCTGCACCTGGACGGATGTGGATGGGAAGAATTTTTCTTCATGGCAATGAAGGATTGGCCCATGTGATAGATTTGTGGGTGTTGGGCCAGGGGCTTGAATTTTCATATGGGTGGGAAAATAATAATATGTAGTTTCCAAATTAATTCAAGGTGAAATTCAGAGAGATTTCTTATATCAAGGTACAAATCTTGTACCTTCTGAACCAGAACAGTTAAAAAAAATCCCTTCTCTTTAAGCTCTGACACTTCCTAAAGTTTATTTTCATCATGGTTGCTGTAGAAAGAAGTTCATTTCCAGGGCAAAGAAAATAATTACCATGGGCACCTTGCCCATTAGATTGCATTTTAAAAGATTTTTATTAAATCAATATAATTCGCAGATTGCCAAATACAGTAAGTTATTTAACTGAACATAAATAAACAGAGCTGGCAGGCTGCAAAAAGCTACAGACATCTACTTTACAAATGTATCTGAGTCCTATTTTATCCTCATAGGATTCTTAGAAAATAAACGATTAATGCCTGAAACCCAACTCTTTGTAGTCACAATGAAGGCAAAAAATAAAAAAAAGATAAATTGGTAGAAAGTACCATATCAGGGTAATAGAAATGGCAGGCAACTTTGCCTTAGATAATTAAATGTTTTGATAGCATGGAATCAGTCCAAAGACATCATTTTGTTATACCACCCATTTGTGGTACAATTTGCTTTCTAAATTTCAAATATGTGATTAACCCAAAACATTACCTATCAATTGTCTATCAGAGAGACTACTGAACATTGACTATCTCAAGTGTTAACTTTCTTTCATTCACATCAATATGATGAATTAAATTTCAGTGAATTTACTGAAGCTTGTAAACATTGTGCAGAAGTCACTATGANTCAAATGGTCACTGAATGAATAGTTGTAAGTTGAGGATTAAATGATGGTTGCATATAAACAGGATGCATTTACGGTCTGGGTAGGAAGGAGCAGACTTAGGCTAAATTCTAGCTTTTGGAATAACAGCTTTCTGATTCCAAAGTTGGTTCATCTATAGTTATGGAAGGGGTCAACCCCACCTATGTAGAACTAGTTAACAGTCTGGTGGTTCTCCTGGACTTGAGCAACTGGTAAGACCATGCCTAGGTAGCCTATGCACAATTACATCTTATGCCTTAATTGAAAATTTACTGGAGATCATGTCTTTTGCCTACCTCGTAACTGTACTGCCCCAATTCACTCCCTCTGAAACCACCTGGAAGCATAAACTGGTTCAGCATCTACTAGCCAGGGTAGAATGATGGCTACATTTAGATTTGTCCAAGTAACACTGTTAGTCCAGAAGCTGCACTGATGTCAGTCAGCTTCTGATTTAATACAAAATGTTGCAAATCACCTTTAAAGTCCATCCTGGTCAACTCTAAGGGCTGCTCCAAATTGAATCTGTCCATACTACAACATTTGGGAGAATCCTTATTGAAGGTCTTGTTACTTCTCAGTGCTATAGGATACCTTTGTCTGTCTCCCTTCCTATCAATCATCCCTGAGATGCATTGAATTATATACAATAGGTTTAAGCTTCACTATTCAAAGTTTAGTATACTCACGGCATTCCTTCTCATCACTTTCATCAAAGCAGTCTGGCAGCCCATCACACTGCCAGGCTCCTGGGATACAGCGTCCATTACTGCACATGAAGTTTCCAGGAATATTACATTCATTTGTGAAATTATTCCAAGGTAAGAGTTGACTTTCTGCAACCCAGAAAAGATAAAATAAAAAGAAGGTCAGCAGAAATGATTTTTGCATCTGAACCAATGTTGCTGGGAGACAAAAACATATATATTTGAAAGAAAGATGGAAAGAGCAGAAAATTAGCATTTAGATCTATTGATCTGTCCTTTCTTAAATCGATATTTTGAAATTCCCATTTTTTCTATGCTTTACAGGAAGCTATTACATTCTATCATTCAAAAATTGTATATCTCTGAATAATAACATGAGTTGGGAAAACTGGATACTTATTTAGATGCAACTAAGTCTTTGAAATTGAATAACATGCAAACTATTTGTCAGACCTGGAAGCCTTTTTTTTTTTTTTTTGATTTCAGGCTTGCCACACTTTCTACTGTGGGAAAACAGGAGGGGGGATTATACACAGTCTGTGTGATGTGTAGCCATAACA